GCCGAGCTTTTAGGTTGCAGCTGGCGATGCTTCTCGTGGCCGAACTATCTACTGCACTTTCACGCAAGGTTGTTGTGGGGGGGGGAGTACTCACAGCCGTGCATGAGATAATCGGTAGGCCATTGATAAAGGTTGGGCACGACAAAAATACCTTTCCGCCCCCCGTGGCGTCGAGGTTGAGCTTGCCCAGGCAGTTGGCCGCCTCCATGAATTCCTCCTTCTTGACCAGCTCCTCGAACAGGCGATGGCGGAGCACGTACTCCGACGAATCATGCACCCCGGGCTTTTTTACAGTGATTCCGCCAAAAGCAGCATTAGATTGACGGGGGGGCGGCGGCAGACAATACGACTCTCTTCAGCATAGGATGACAAAGCACTTCCTCCGTGGAATCGCGCACATGCTGATCTGAATTTGGAAGAATGCCATAGCAGTAGACAACGACATTCCGCGACATACGCGGGGAACGATACCGCGAAACGAAACCAGGATAGATTCACACACATTGGACGGCACACTACTCGAACGCACCTGTTCTTGCATCTTTTCTAGGCAGAAGTGACAAAGTGCCTCGAAACCTTCCGGGTTGGTATCCGCAAACGAACACGCCTCCTTGGCGAGGTGGGCGCAGCACTGCCGGGACACCACTGGAGGCACTCCGCTGCCCAGCACTGGAAAAACAACAGGTGGGGGATCCAAGCACACAACAATAAGTGAAAAAAACAAAAGGAGGCCAAAACCGGACAGGTAGGGGCGGGTGCAGTTCAGGAAACAAAAAACAACCAAGTCAGATTATTGTACACCTGTGTAGTGACGTTGTGTGTCCAGAGACTACCGTATATGACACAAGATAACACACCCCCTGGACCGATTTTCAAAAGCTCGATTTCTCCACGACGAAGAGAATGCATGAACGAAACGATACATTTTCGAAAAGCTCTTGACGGGACGGTTTCAACGCCGCCGTTTTCGGCGCTGTGACTGTTCCTGCAGTTGAGAAATCGAGCTTCGAAAATTGGTCAAGGGGTTGTGTTATCTTGTGTCATGTACGGTATACCGGGACACCGGCACTACTTGAAAGTACACAACGACTTGTTTTCGGTGTGTGCGAGCCGAAAACATCGGCACTACACCGGCACCCGGTACTATTCGACTAGCACAGCGCAGGGCCCGCTACTGTACCGGGCAGGAGAGGAAGGAAGGATGCAAAACCCGGGGGGAAGGGGGTGCGGGAGGTAGGTTGCCGCACAATGAACACATGCAAACCATCGAGATCCATCCGCAAAAATTGAGGTAACGCCAGTGCCCAAGTGGGGGAGCGGGCATCGATCGTGTTCGCGAAAAGCACGGACCAAGAAAAGAGACACGGGCACATACGCTGCCAAGCGCGAGATCAAAAGTAAAATAGGCTTGGTTGGCGTCCGCGCATTGGCTCTCTCTCCCGATAACCTGGCGGCCAAAGCGGAAACATGGTCACGGCGTGAAAAAAGGTCCAGGAAAACAACGGACGCGTTGCATGGTCTGAACGCAGGCTGCGACGCCTACTAGAAAAGCTTTCAAGTTCAATAGCTCGAAGAAGGCGGGCAACACGATTTCATGTAGAGCTCCTCTCGATGGCAGTGGTGTCAAGGGTCTTCGCCATGAGCATCCGACTGCAGGGAGCAGATCATTCTCAGCAGCCACCGCAGCAGCAAACTCACGGTGTCGGAACATGGCCTGAACATCGTCGATGCGCCCCCCAGCCGCCAGCTCTTCCCCGAGAGCTTTATACCTGAAAAAATGTACCATGGTATAAATACAAAAACCGAGGAATGCCGGAAAAAGACGGGTCGAAGATGAGTCTCATGCACACGCTGCACGGTATCGATGCGGTTTGATCGGCGACATGGACTGCCTGCTCAAGAAGGGGTAGGTGGGCCAGATTCGAACCCAGCAGTCTACGCAGCAAAATTGATTAAGCAAACATATGGGCTAGAGTATTAAATCCGTGCTTCGGGGTTAGGGTTCGGGTTACGGATAGGGTCTGCGCGCCCCCTCCCTATTACTTTTCTAGTTACTATCATACTCCTGCGTAGTCGGTCTTATAGCCGTTGAGCAGCTCTTAATGGCCTCCGGGCTGCGTTGGCCACTAAGTAGAAATTACAGGATGTGGGCGCCTTCCTTTCCTGCAGTACGGTTTCGCTCGCCCTAAATTTCTCAACCAGAGGGGAATCCATACGTCAAGCAGGCACCCGCCGAGTGCCCCATGCAGGGGACAACATCGGGCTTGCTTCTCAGGGTGGATGTCAACTGGACACTACAGTACGAGCAGCGAAGTACACCAACATGGAAGGAGGCACACCGCACCCACCCAAACGAAAACGATCATGGCACACGAATCGTACCGGGCCGTCCGCTCTCTCTGGTCCCCGATGCCCGAGATGCTGGCGAGCTTTGCCTCCACCGCCGCCATCAGCACGCGACCTATATCCCGGTGTCTGCGGTAGCCTGTTTCCCTTGTGTCCCCTGCGTGCCCGCTTGTTTGGAAATCGGCTGCGGCGATGGCGTTCACGGCAGGGCCGCAAGACGAGACATCAACAAGAGCAGGGCTGGAATACTTACAGCTATTCACTGCAAGGAGGAGGCGACATCAGCAAGGGCGGTACTGCACGCACCAGAAGAGCAGCAGAGGCACATGTGCACAGCCTCCAGGCCTAACAGCTTGATGGAACAAACATGGCGGCAGCGAGTTTGGTCGATCGAAATAGAGCCGTTGTCGCCAAGCGAAACGAGATTGTGCCGCATCTGTATCAACAGTCTGCCGAGGTGGGCAACCGCGGGCCGTGCGCGGCAACTACTTCACACGAAATACGAATGCTGGGTCTGCGTGTAGGAAAGGTGCCAACAAGATCGTATACTTCGAAGTATACGGTGCTGCTGCTGCTGCTTTTTACAGAGTAGATAGGGCAGAATCACATGTAGACTGAAGGGAAAGACTGAGACTGCGCTACTATTATACTGCTGTAGCAAGCGCTTGCTGATTGCTGATACATGTGGTACGGTGTGACATTAAAACGTACTTCTGTAGCAAGGACTACATGCTGTTATTTTCACACACGCAGCAAGTGCTTCTTAGCCCAGAAGTCGTAACTGCTGCGTGGCGCCAAACCCGTCTAACGACTCCAACGCTTTCGTTCCGAGGCACTTGCGGCGAATCAAAGACGCCACGCTGATTTCCAAGCAAAGAGGAGCGATCGTTGCCACTGGGTACCCATGAGCCGAGGCAGCGCAATCAAACAGCAGCGGTCAACACGTGGACAATCTAGGTGTGGTGCTGAAGCTGCTGCATACTAGCCTACGCAACACTATGATAGTCTCTGCCTCTGCTGCTCGGCGACTCCGGTACGCTGCAAAGCTCCGCTGGTCGTGCCTATCTCCCTCCGCCTTGGTCTTCGTGCATGGACAACGGGTGAGAAAAAGCACAACGCAGCTTGTTGCCCACCTTCAGGACCCTGCTAATGTGTTGCTGCTCTACTCTTGCCGCCTTTGAAGTAACACAGAGAAAGCTCGACTTGCTTCGGCCTGGCAGCTGGGCTGTGGCGGTGCTTCATTGGGTGGAAACGAGGCTTCGCTGCTGTGGATACTCTGGGGGGCTTCACTACACGATGTGCATGTACGGAGCCCCGGAGTGAGCTTACGCAGGGCGGGAGGAAGCGTGGCGGAGCGGCGGAGCGGTGGCTTGGCGTAGCGTGGAGGCACGCGGCACAGGTGGGTGTGAGCATGCATATATTGTAGATCTAGCATTCAGTACGTTTTTGCAGGACCGTGGAGGGCTGGGGAGCACCCTGATTTTCGTACTCATGACCCCAGCTGATTAATCCTTTCTTTGCTCCTTTGCCGCTCTGCACAGACAGAACCGGTGAGGGCGATCGCGAGGTGGCGTGGACTGCGAGAGAACTGCTAGAGAGCTATCATGTCCAGCACAGACAAAGGTGTGAGTCGATTTCCCCTCTACGAACGCAGCCCGACCGAGGATCGTCCAGCGTTGGCCGCCTGCAATAAAATGTGTGTCGGGAGTCGGGAGGGGAGCCCGCGGCCCGAGGCTTTGAGTTTTTTTTTTTTCGCGAGCCCAATTGTTGACAGTCCCGCCTCCGAGGTTCCTGAACAACCAAATTGGCTCAGCGCGCGTGCAACTCTAACACCGGCGTGCTGGTGCCCGGCTTTCTGTGGGCGCGCTGCTCTCGTAGCTACTACTCGATTGTGGTGCATTGCTACTTGGTCGTGACTCCGAGCTGCACTCGTTTTACAAGTACCCAAGAAAATTTCTGGGTCCGCGCAAGGTATATTTTTTGATACAGAGATGTATGCATGGACTAACAAGATACCAATTTGATACCAGGTACCAATTTGATACCAAGGCAAATTAGTACTTGTAGCAATTTCGCAGAGCGAGAGCTTTCTTCCTGAAATGTGACAGCCTGTGCTATGGCCGCTTTATCACAGAAGTAGAGGGGTTTACGCCGCCCGCTGGCGCAAGTACTAATGATAATCGATACTTGATGTACTCCGAGTTCGCACCGGTCGCCGACAATACTGTACGGGGACATATTTCACTTGTGTCGTTTGGTGCTGTGTTTTTTTTTTTGCCGACGGCACGCAGCTCTGAACCATCTCTGCCCGCTTTGCCCTTGTGTGATGCTCGCTAGCCCCACGAGATATGGAAGATGACGCAGCTGTCCGAAGTTGCATCAGCAGCACCGGTGGCGTCGCCGAGTCTCACCCGTGTGACATGATGGCATCTTCTGCGAATCGTGGAACGATCCTTGAACCAGGCCGTGGTGCTTGTGGAGCGGTAGACCGGACAGAAGCCGGCACCAGCAGTTCCACCGCCAGCAGCAGCAGCGGCGGCAGCAGCAGCAGCGGCGTCGGTGGCGACAGTAATAGCCACGGTAAGGGCAAACAGAACTTCCAGCAGAAACAACAGCATCAGCAATACCGAAAAAATCACAGAGTGGAGGAAGGGATGGATGCGAACAGGAGCTTTGTAGAGCAGCTGCGGCGGCGGCACGAAGAGGCGGAAGAGGAAGAGGAAGAGGAAGATGAGGAACAAGAAGAAGCAATCAGTGACAGGGACGACGGCTTTCTTGACGAATTCGTGAGGGAACTCGACGGCGCATCCTCAGAAGACGAGCAGGCGGAGGAGCAGACGGAGATGCAGCCGCCGATGAGCGGGGGTGACGGCGATGAGCAAGTGGCCAGGGCACTGCAGGTGAGCTGATATTATTTTTCGGCGAAGAATGTCAATTCGTCAGCGAGGTTTCGATTTTGTTCGGGCGCGCCTCCTTTGATATTGAAAGCGTTTAGCTTAGCTCCGCGTCGGGCGTTAGCGCCGCTGTCTTCCACACATGTTGGCAACCGATGTCGACGCAATTTTTGCTTGTATGCCCCTATCACGTTTCTGTCCCCGGCGCCTCTGCCGTCGCATTCCCATGCATCGCTTCCTTCAAGGAGGCGGAATGGCGTCGGAATCTTCCTCCGCTACCGGGGATGCAAGTCCCTAGCGACAGGGACGATGGTAGGCGCGTTGGCAGCATAATATGTAGCGGTTCCGGTAGCGGCAGCATTTTTGACACCGGGGGCTGCAGCGGGGGCGGTGCCAGCGGCGGCGGCAGCAGCATCAGCGGCGGCGGTGCCGCTGCTGCTGCGACAGGAGTTGGTGCACTTGCGGCTGCTGGTGGTGGTGGGGCGTCCAGGCCTCCCAATTGCGGTGTGGTCTGTCATAGCCCCTACACTGATGACGATGACGATGAAGCCGCCATCCAGGGGGATGGAGCCAACGGTGGAATACCGCCGCAGATTGCCATAAAAGGCAGTAACAGAAGAGGCATAGGGGTCGGAACGACGGTGGGGCCAGGACGGCCGAGGGGAAAGGGGAGCGTGCGGGGGGCGACCCTAGGCGCATGGCCGCCCGGAGGCCTTGGCGAAGGGGAGGGCCTTCGAGTCAACGATTTCCCGGACGTGAGTTACAGAATATTGAGGCCGAAATCAAACCATTTCTAGTGCTTTGATTTGGTCTTCTACAAAGAGTGCACCATGTTCTATTGAGAATGTGCCGCGGTTCTACGATCGATGTTTCGTAGTGGCCGCTAGTGGGAGTTGGTCAACTTCTTGTCGGCTGGCATAGGCGCTCTATGCATTTTTTTTCGGCTTGGCACCGCGTCCGTACTTGTACGATTGCAAGCATAACGATTGCTTCGTGTGGCATGCATACGTAGGCTGTCTCGGATATGCTGCTGGTACCTGCTGCTGCTGCTGGCCTTCCGCGCGTGGCTCCAACATGGCTGTCGTGATAACGCCGGGATCGTGAATTTGCCGTGCTCTGCGGCCTGTTCAATCATCTTGGCGGTGCTTTTTGCTGATGCTGGTGCAGGAAATCGTCGAAAAAGTCGCTGGGTTCGCATCTCTTCCTCGGTGTGTGTCGAAGCGGATAGAGAAGTATCGGGTCAAGGTGAGATTGCAAGCAACGATCCCAGGCATCCCGACCGCATGTGATGCAAAGTGCGCTATCGGTCAAGTTGATTCACGTTTTTTTTCTAGGCTATCTTGTGGCCACCGACTAGTATTGTTTTTCTTGAGTTGCAATCGACACGTAGACACCAGCAAACTTATTCGCCACCGCTGCTAGCCTCCCTTGGCTGTGTGCTCTCCTTCCTGAGCTATTTTAGGCGAATCGGCATTTGACGGCAGGTTGTTCGGGAACGTGTGTTTACGGCTTTGGAAACGTCCGCAACGCTCCCGGCTTCGAAGGCAAAGGAAGTGGAGGATGCGATTTTTGCTCTTTGCGGGGGCTCCGTGACTAAGGTGTGTGTTGCTTCGTGGTTTTTGTTTTGTTTTGTACAGGTTTAGGTTGTTATTGTTGTCTGCTTTTGTTGCTCTTTGTTTCGGTCTTTGAAAAACGACTTGTATAATCGTTTGGCTACGCCCCCGCGCCATGCTACCGTTGTCATCCTCTCACCATGGCCGGGTCGACACCAGGCGTACAAAGCAAAGGCCCGAGAGATGTCGTTCAACCTGAGGGTAGGAAAAAACGATCCTCTCAGGGAGCGACTCCTGTCTGGATCCCTTCTGCCGAGTGACCTGGTGAGTCACTTTCTACGGGTACCACCAGTGATTTTCGACAGGGATTGCGGTTTGGGCATAATTCCCTGTCTAGCACAGCCTGCTGGCGATTACTGGCCGTGCTCGTGGTTGTGAGCCCTCGGGGTTTTCTTCGCTTTTCGTCCGGCCCATGGTCCAACCCTTGCGTCACCTACCGGGTGTTTTCGTCGTTTCTATCATCTGAAGACTCGGGAAGATTTTCTGTCGTTTTGGTGACTTGTTTCTTTGTTGGGCTATGCCCTCTATGCATGATGTTACCAGTGTCGCTCTTACTGCGCCGGACCAGATGACAAGCTACAAGAACTTACTGAATCGTCGATGGCGCCGCGGCACGCGCACATCACCGTCATCGTGTCCGCCAACAGAACCGCTCCAGTCGACAAGCAGCCGGCTAGATGCGGCGATCGTTGCAACAACGCTTGACTCGGGCCCAGCATTGATGTCTTGTTCTCTTCCCAAAAACATTGCCGCGGCTGCTCTCTTTCTTTCTCTCCTTGTGGTGGCAGGTGCGGATGAGTTCCAACGACCTGGCCCCTCTCTCTGTTCGACGAGAGCGGGAGAGGTTTGCCCGCAAGCGCATCCGAGAGGTGAGGTACAACAGTTGTCAGCCCTATGTGGGGTCAGCGCGAGACAAGGCTGGCATTATCGTGCTCATGTGTCCTGGGATGGCTTCGTGCTTTGCTCAAGCAACGATGATGGTGTATGATGTCGCTGTTACTCATTAGTAGATGACATGGCCAGAGCAGGCCCCCGCCCATGCGAGTTTTATTTATGTTTTGTCTCTGTTAAACGCCTTATGCTTCTTGCACGATACTCTTGAGCGTGCTGCTCTTCTTTCTCTACCGCGGGTACTTCGAAGCAAAGGTAGATGTTGAAGGTAGCGCCCTACCCGCCCCCCCTGGTGTTTGCCATCGGGGTTGGGTTTTCGTCGCTTGGCAACGACGTTGTAAAACAAGCC